TGTTAACATGTCAATGTGAATATTCACATTGTCAATGGGCCGGGCCCGCCCTGGCCCGACTCGAATATTTTCGGGCACCCACGAAGATCGACATGGGCCGGGCCCCTACACATTGACAATATGAACATTCACATTGACGGTGTGAACATTCACATTAGGGGTATTTTGGTAATTATGTCACTCATAGGACTTATTGAAACATAAGAAAATAATGTGAACTAAATGGAACATAAGTAGATGAAAAGGGTATTTTGGTCTTCTTATCTCACATAGGACCTAATGGAATAGTCAAAAAGAATATGGGTTGGATGGAATAAAGCTTTTAGAAAGTGAATTTATCAAAAAAGTTCCCAACAAAAAAATACAAAAACCAAAAAACTCAATTTTCAAAACACTTAATCCAGAAAACTCAAACCAAACACACTGAATGTTTTTTCTCGTCATAACAATTCTGGTCATTGTACTGAATAATTTATGTGATTGTTTTTTTTGGGGGGATGATTTCTTTGTTTCCTAGGCAATGGTTAATATCATTACAAATTTCATTTCGATAATTTAATCATCATTTTATAAGACATTCAGGCCTCATTTGGCAAGTGGTTTTTTTAGTTAAAAAGCCAAAAAGTCAATAAAAAAAACTCATACCAAAAATTTAAAAATTCACTTTTCTCTCTACTTTTTGCATATTTTTTCGTAAAAAGTCATCCCAGACAGTGTGCCGTTTTGGGAACCAAAATAAAAAGCCACGTTTTTGTCAAAATGTCCAAAAACGCAAGTGGCAAAAACGTAACAAAATTGGTTTAGAAAGTGCCAAAAACGCAAGTGTGAAATTACAAATTGGGGCCTATGACAAAAAAATAAAAAAATAAATTTCTTATGTTGGGTAAGGGTATTTTGGTCATTTTAATTTGATTTGATACCATAAACAAATATTAAACTAAAAAGCCAAAAGCCAACTTTTTACCAACTTCCCAAATCATTTTTCAAAAAGCTAAAAAGCTTGATAAAAAGCAAAATGTCAGCTTTTTATCAACTTCCCAAAACATTTTATAATAGTTTTTTTTAGCTCATATTTTAGCAAAATAGTCAAAAAAGTTACTAAAGTAGCATGTTCCCAAACGAGACCTCAGTATATATCTTTCATAAAATTACGTTAATCCGATAATCATAATCACTCTGTTTGTTTCTAATTTTCAGAATTCACATTTCAAAAAATTCTACTTTTTCACTTTCTATATTTTTTTTGTTTTCGCTGAATTTTTTAATATTTTAAGTAAATTTTTATTTTTTATTTTTTAGACACTTAACATAAATACATTTAGAAAGTATAATATTTGTGAAAAAAATCTTTAAAAAATTCATTAAATACCAAAAATACAAAAAAGATATAAAAATTTAGTACATTTTTTATATTTTTATGTATTTATTAATTTTTAAAAATATTTATTCACAAGTAATTTACTATTTAGATGTATCTAAGTAAGGTATATCTAAAAAGTAAAAAAAAAATGCTTAAAATTTTAAAAATATTCACTAAAAACAAAAAAATAAGAAAAACAAAAAAACTCAATTTTCAAAAAACTGAAACCAAACACACTGAATATTTTTATTTTATTTTATCGCGTTTGTCAGTAAACAAATATGTTTATGAAAAAAAAAAACTATCCATTTTTTGAAGACAAACACAATAAAATAAAATGATAAAGACTATTGGACCAACCTAATTATTTTCATAGACATTATACACAGATAACTGAACAAAATAAACAGTTCGAATCATCAAAGCGAGACTTGTTGTGAACCCCACAAGACTCTCAAGTACAGATGCGAATCGTATATTTCTATATGACTAGTAGTACTGAATAAACCGTATAACAACCTCTTTTAGTCATTATTTATTACATAAAATCTGAACACTAGTGTACTTACAGAATGACTTTTTTCTATACTCTTATCCTCCATACTCTTTTATACTTTATTTTTAAAACTCCATTCTAAGCTCACAATGATATTCTAAACCATACATTGCGTAAGGAAAATGTCTCGTAGCTCAAATTTTGTGGCTCAAAAGTGGCTCAAATGGCCAAAACGACGTCGTTTTGGTCATTTTTATGTTGTTCTGTACTCAAAACGACGTCGTTTTGGCCATTTGAGCCACTTTTGAGCCACAAAATTTGAGCTACGTAGCATTGTCGATTGCGTAATTCCAATAATTTAGGTGAGTTATACAAAAAATTAGTTTCATCACATATCACTAGATACATGAATAAATTACATCTTGTTTTTTAAAATGGATAGTAATTATGAGTTTAAGCTTAAACCTTCTTTTATAAAACAAAAAGTGATTTATTTATGTATTTATCGATATTCGATGAAGTTGATTTTTGCACAGACGGTCTTCATTGTGAGATTTACAAAACACACCATTTAGATTATCATTGTGGGTCTAAAATGAAACCCAAAAAATGAAGTGTGAAAAAGTATAGAGGATAAAAGTATGGAGAATAGCCAATAAACAAGTTTTTTTGATAAGTAAATGACGAGATTAACTGTTCTCATCCAAATCCTTTGAAAAATACAAATGTTTTATAAAGTCAAGAAACGAAAATATTACACCAAAATGATAAGTAAATGACAGTATTTACAAGTCTTTTTTTCAAAGAAATCTGATAATAATAAGAAACATTAGTTAACCAGAGAAGTTCTTGGGACATGGCCACATAGTGCTAGAACTCAACAGTGATAGTAATAAAAGTTAGGCACACAAATTTGTGTTGATAATTGGAGAGACAAATTGGGGCGATGACATTTGCTGATCGGTCTATGACATGGCCTATGTGGTGTGGTGCCCCATGGCACCAAATAATTTTGCTAGTTAACCAATATCAACCCAACATGCAAACATACTTACTGGATATGGAAGATGGAGAGTTTGTGTACTCCCGGCAATACAAAACAACATTATCATGGCTCCTAGGAACAGCCCTGTCTCACATTGGACAAAGAGAGTAAACCTTCAAACCTTTTTCCTTCGCACAGAAGAAATTGCGTGAGTTACACAAGTACCAACTTGTGTCCCTCACAGCATCGCTATTCAACCTCACCCATGCAGTATCAGCATCATTATACACATACACTTTAAATGACCAGAAATTGTAGTCATCTTGCTCGATTTTCACTTTCGCTCCTTCGTGCCGTGTAATATAACCTTTTAAAAACACATTCTCTAATCTGGACAACTCTTTCCACGAATCACTAGCCATATTGTAAATTATCATCCTTCCCGTTGTATGGTAGCAATACACATTCTGTCCCATAGTAATTAGATTTCTGTATCCTGAAAATACTGTCCTCTGACCAAAATAGGTATGCTCAGTCCACACTTCATTACCCGGGTTAGCTGTTCTAACAGTCACCAGAGTAGGATTACCAAACTTAAGGAGGACTACAAAGTCGGGATAGCCTTCACAGGTGGAAAAGGAACCAGTGTATCCACCAGATGGATCTACTACATCAGGCAATTTAATTTTAGCCTTTGTAAATGGATTTATTAAAAGCAGAGAATCAGGCAACCTTTCCTTTGGCTTGGAGAAATTCTGTCTTTGTTGCAGAAGAATCCATCCATGTTTCGATAAAAGCACTGAAGCTCCATGAAATTCGGCCAGGTCGATACTAAATTTATGTTTCCTTGTAACACTGATGAACTCCTGTAAGCTGTTCTTAAAATCAGTGCTCTTGCCAGATCTATCGCAACCCATCTCCAGCAGATTGAAGAACTTTCGGATACTGTGCTGATGCAGAGTGCAAATCAGGACAAACAGCAGCAAGTCCCTTGTTATCAAAAATATCTAGCTTATCCTTTATCATCCATAAAAGGAGATCTGGGAATGAAGACCAAGCGCCTTTACTTTCTTTGTCATCAGGCATTTGAGGGGATGGATCTGTAAGCTTTCTGTATTTCTGTATATTCAATTGTGTTTGATTACAATCAGACCTTAGATTATATAGCCCTAACTCCTAAACCAAAAAGGAAAATACAATCACGCCTCTAATAGGACTCTAATACAATCACGCCTCTAATAGGACTCTAATATGTACAACTACAATCATGCCTAATTTGTAAGATTCAGTATATATTCTCACACCCCCGCTCAAACTCAAGGAGTTTTAGCAAAAAACACTGAGGGCTTGCTAAGAAGAAACTGAAACCAAGCGGTAGTATGAGTTTTGGTGAAGAAGTCCGCAAGTTGCAAAGCCAAAGGGATGAAAGGAAGCGAGATAGAGGCAGAATGCAGATATTGGCGAACAAAGTAACAATCAATCTCAATGTGATTCGTCCGCTCATAGAAAACAGTATTGTGGGCAATTTGAATAGCACTACGGTTGTCACAATAGAGAGAGGTCGGAGAAGACTGAGAGACACCAAAATCAGACAAGAGACAACGAAGTAAAACAATCTCAGCAGTGGCATGAGCCATAGCATGATACTTACACTGCTGGAAAACAGATTTTTAGTGGCGTTTAAGAAACGCCGCTATATCTTTCAAAAACGCCGCTAATTCCTTTTGCGACGTTTAGTACCAAACGTCGAAGCTGCGGCCGTCGCTGTATCTTTACGACGTTTTAAAAACGTCGCGATATTAGAATAGGCGGCGTTTTTAGAAACGCCGTGAAATGTCCCTACCATGACGTCACTATGATTTTAGCGACGTTTTCAAAACGCCGTCATATCTTTTTAAAAAAAATTGGCCGTTGACCTTTTGGAGTTTAGGTGGCGTTTTAAAAACGCCGTGAAATCCTCTTTTTTTTTTTTTTGAAATTATGCTAATTTTATGTGATTAAACTAAAAAAATACCTATAATAAAATTGAATAGCCGTAATATGAAATAATAACTCCCATTCAAATTATAAATGCAACGGTACCGTTTTGATTATTAACAAATGCGACGTTTAAAAAACGCTACTAATTATTAGAAAAAGTGACGTTTAATAAAACGTCGTTAATTAAACGCCACTAAATCTCTAATTTCCTGTAGTGTTAGCTGCGGCAGTAGAGCGAGCAACAACTGATTGTTTTTTGCTTTTCCAAGAGATCAAGAAATCACCAAGTAACATACAGAAACTAGACGTAGACTTGCGATCAGTAACATCACTAGCCCAATCAGAGTTAGCATAGGCCACCAAGTCCAAAGAGGAAGTAGAGGACAACAGTAAGCCCTGAAAAATGGTACTCCTGAAATAGAGAAAAATGCGAACCAAAGTAGCCCAATGGGTAAAGCGAGGAGTAGAAACAAACTGACTAACTACATGAACAGTATAAGCAAGATCAGGGTGAGTGACAGTCAGATAAACTAAACAACCCACAAGCTCGCGATATAAAGTGGGATCATCCAGAGGGATACTATCAATAGAGTTAAGCTTCACATTAAGCTTAATAGGTGTATCAAAAACCTTAGTATCAATAAGACCAGTACGGTGAATGACTTCATTAGCATACTTAACCTGAGACGGAAAATAGCCCTTTGGAGAAGAAGCAACCTCAATACCAAGAAAATACCGTAATGGACCCAGATCTTTTATTTCGAAGGTGCGAAAGAGATGCTGCTTGACCTCAGAGATAGCAGAAGAGTCAAAGCTAGTGATGATCATATTATCCACATAGAGTAAGAGAGCAACAAAACCAACCGATGTATGTCTTAGAAATAAAGCAGAGTCGGAAGCAGAAGGATGAAACCCAAGCTCGGTAACAGCAATCTGAAAACGATCATACCAAGCACGAGGAGACTACTTTAGACCATACAGAGCACACCGAAGACGACAAACCTAGCCAAAGAAATAGTGAAGGGTGAAGGCCAAGGGGAGGACACATGTAAACCTCTTTAGTGGGATGGCCATTAAGAAAAACATTCTTAATATCCATTTGATAAAGAGGCTAAGAACAAATAGCAGCGACAGAGATCAAAGTACGGACAATAGTCATCTTAGCAATAGGAGCAAATGTCTCCTCATAATCAATACCATACTCCTGAGAGAAACCTTTGGCAACCAAACGAGCTTTGTAGCGCTCAAGAGACCCATCAGAAGGGGATCGACCGGAGAGTAAGGGAGTTGGCATACAATTAAGGAGGAAGGCAGCGGTAAGAACTGTCTCATCCCAGAATGGTGTCGGAACAGAGGCAGAGAGAAGAAGAGATCGAGTTGTCTCAAGGAGATGATAGTGTTTAAGCTCAGCACGACCATTTTGGACAGGGGTATCAGTACAGGAGGTTTGGTGAATGGTGCCTAATTTGGCCAAATACTCACAGAATTCAGTTTTAAAGTATTCCCCATCCATGTCAGACTAGAGTATTTTAATGGTGACCCCAAACTATATAGTGATCATAGACTGAAAGGTACGATATATCTAGTAGAAGTCAGATTTATGAGCCATAAGATAAACCCAGGTATAGCGGATACAATCATCAACAAATGACACATAATACGCAGAACCCCTTTTAGTGAGAATAGGAGAAAGTCCCCAGACATCAATATGGACAAGAGAAAAAAGGGAAGCAGAAATAGAAGTACTGTTATTAAAAGGTACACCTGCCATTTTAGCAAGTTTACATCCTCGACACTCATTAATTTGACTAGGAGAAAGTTTACCTAACAATCCTGACTGAGCTAAAGACTGCAAGCAGCTAACAAACAAATGACCTAAGCGAGAATGGCATAAATAAAACTAACTCGACTGAGAATCTAACTGAAAAGATGAAAGTGCAACGAGGGAGGTGGACTGAAGAAGATGCAAACTTTCCACCACATAGAGATGTCCAACTCTACGGCCGGTCCCAATCTACTTCTTGGATACCTGATCCTGCACACAAAAGACAGAAAAAGAAAAGATAACATCAAAACCAGAAGCATCAAGCTGACTGATAGAAAGCAAACTAACAGACAATTGAGGAACATAAAGAATAGAGGGAATAGTAACACCAAACATAGCAGAGGGTAAAACAAACCTAATAGATAAGACAGATAGACTAGACCCATTAACAGTATTGATAATAATAGGAAAGAGAGGGGGGATACAGTGTTGGAGTAAGAAAGGTGAGAAGTCATATGATGAGAGGCACCAGAATCAAAAAGCCAGACAGAGGAAGAAATAACTGAAGAGGACCCAAGCAAACCTGAATGAGGAGAGGCAGATGAAGATGACTGAGAGGTGGACTAAAGGTGCTGAAGTTGAGCAATTTGGGTACTCAAGGAAGCCAAGTCAGGATCAGAAGCCGGGGCAGAGGCAGTATAAGCAGCAGGAGGGCGAAAAGTACTCGGAACAGGACCTCGGGACTGTAGCTGAGGCGGCTACGAAGACTGAGCAGATTGACAGCCCTTCTTGGGACAATTGTACTTCCAATGGCCCTTCTGATGGCAAAAAGCACATTCATCAGAGGCTAGTGGCCCCTTCTTGGGCTTTGCATTGGCCTGAAGCTAATAAGGTAGGGGGTTCGACAGCAGAAGAAACGGAATAGGAGCCAAGAAGACAAAGTTTGACTGGCTATCTTAAGATGGGTTTCTTGAGAGAGAAGCTTACGAACAATAGCATCCACAGAGGGGAGAGGAGACCGATGAAAAATACCACCACGGATAGCCTCATACTGAGGGGAGAGTGCCATTAAGAATTGCACTAAACGACCTTGCGCCCGAAACTCGACATAAGCGTCTAGTGTCTTGAGGCTAGATGGTTCCATGAGAGCCAGCTGATCCCAGAGGCCTGTCATCTCAATGTAGAAGTCTTGAATAGACAAATCCCGCTGACGAGCTCCTTGAATAGCTGTTTCCAACTCATACCATTTGGAAAAGTTGGACTGCTGATAAACACTTTGTAAGTAATCTCATACATCTTTGGCTGTGCTATATTTAGAGAACATCATCCCGATACGGTCATCCACAGAGTTATGGAACCAAGTCAAAACTTAAGCATTATCACAATCTCAAGTGTCACAGGAACTCAGATAGTCTTCTTGGTTGGGATCCGATAAACGAGGAACAAATCCAGAAACATATCCCCATTTTTTTCGACAAAGAAGAAAATTTTTATAACACTAGACCAATAAACATAGTTGTCACTTGTAAGCTTGCATTTAATAGCTTAGATTTTAGCTTCGATTTTAGCTTCCAACATTGTAATGAACCAGAAATAAAAAAAATAAAATATAATAAAATAAAAAAAGAGAGCTGATACAGTGATAAAACCCAATAAAGTTGAGGAGTCAACCTGCAATAATCCAAAGTTGAGACAGAGGGGTCTAGGTGGACTGAAATCAGAACACAAAGAACAAAACTGAAGATAGAGAGAGAGCAAAATTGAGAGCAAAGACTAGACTGAGAGCCAACGCAAAGGTCGCAAGAGAGAGAGAGATCCCTCAAGCCCAGACCAGACTAGCGACTTTAGACCCAGTACCAAAAGGCAATCGCAATTTCGGCGAAGATAGAGAGAGTTGTCGCGACTTCAGAGAAGACTGTCACAACCCAGCAAGACCTTTGTGGCTTCGGAGATGGCTTTCGCGACTGTCACGACCCAGAGAGGGCTAGCTTCGATCGACCCAGAAAGACCCAGCAAGTAAGAACGAAGAACTTCGAACGATTCGAATGATCAAGGCCAGACCTAGGGTTTCAGAAGTGGTTCTAATACCATGTAAGCTTTCTATATTTCTGTATATTCAATTGTGTGTTTGATTACAATCAGACCTTAGATTATATAGCTCTAACTCTTAGACCAAAAAGGAAAATACAATCATGTCTCTAATAGGACTCTAATACAATTACGCCTCTAATAGGACTCTAATATGTACAACCACAATCATGCCTAATTTGTAAGACTCACAATATATTTTCACAGGATCATCTGATGATTCTAAGATACGCAAACCGGCAAACATTAAAGGTGCATTAGAGGGAAATGATGAATTCTTCACTATGTTTCTGAACAAAAGCAGTGCATGAATGCCCAATGAAAAATCTTCAATCACAAAAAGCCAATTAAATATTTGATGGCCTAACAATGAGCTAAGTTCAAGAGACAATTGACTATACTGTTTTGCTTTGGCACAAAGCTTTCAATATTATTACTATTAGCTTCTTTCCACCTTATGAAGAACTTACCTTGTTCACGTTCTGGCAATATAGCATCAATTGAGCCTCTTTGAAACATGTTTCACAAGGAGAACATTTGAACATTGAGGGAAATTAACCTCTCTAAGTATACCCTACAATTTGAATATAACCTGTGAGATTCCCAAAATAACCCTGAAAATATTAGATTTTTGAAGTCGTTATAATAACAAAATAATATGGCTATTCAAAAAGCTTACTCTTCCGCCTTCTTACGATTGTGTCTATAGTTCCACTTTAAAACAAGTGAGGGGAAAAAGAAAAAAGAAAAAAAAAAAAAGTTAACAAATGTAACATCATAACCAGAATAACTTAACTTGAAGCTCAACATCATTGCATTGATATTCATGGAGAAGCAAAATGTAGGATAAATGAGGGGAACACTCTCCTAAAAGCCGTGAGTCTGAAGTTATCCTAGGGCAACGTGGAGGGAGAGATTTAGGGCTGATGTTGTTAAATTTTATCTAAGAAGCACAAAAACAAACACATGACATGACACGGACATGGACATGCAAATTTTTAAAAAATGCAGGACACGACATGCCTAGAACTTGAGCAAAACATATAATTTTAAATATTTATTAGACATATCATATTTTTTAATATTATATATTTATCTTGTGTCAAATACTAATTCTCATCAAATTCATCAACCTTGGTATGCTATTCTTTCGAAAATATTTTTAAAAAATGGGACCCTCCGTGTCCCCACTCCCCAACATATCAGACACTAGTACATAACCTTTGGAGAGGTGTCTATGCTTTCATAAGATGATAGAGCTGAATAGTTGGTTAATATAAGTTTTTAGGATTTAGGGTCGCAAAATGGTAGGGTTTTGGGGATGGACAGGCAACTATCCAAGTTCTTCTGAGTGCTGTGACTTAGCATAAGCTGGTTAGATTTACTCTTTTGTATGGTCGATTGGTTAATGAATTAATGTGTTGTAGATAGGCTTGCAAAGCAGGGTTAAGAAAAAGGAAAGAAGTTGGGTAAGATTAGGTTTGGAAGTTATAAAGGTGTGGAGCATGAAGATATGAAGAAGAAAGAAGAAATAACATCTAGGCATATACTTCGATTTCCATAGATATAGTATCTAGAGTAAGAATTGTGTCCGTATAGTGTTACCAGAAAACACTAATACCCTCACAAATTATGTTTTGGAATGCAAGTTCCAAAACATGATACACTTTTGTTGCAAAATGATGAATTTAGTGATCCAAATCAATTCCAATTTTTTTCCCAATAAATACTTCAACAGTTCCTTGAGAAAAAAAAATTCAAAAATAATAAACTAAAATCTAAGTGGAGTGGAGTTTTCACTGAACAAAACACAAAAAATGGGTCAAAATGCTCATAGAAATGTTTTGGTACATGATTAATTTGAAAAAGAAAAAAGAACAAAAAAGACATACATTTCACTGGATGTCTAACTGTAAAAGAAAATTGCTCTAAAAGAATCTTAATTTTAATAGTGTAAGCTATACAAGCCTATAATTTATCTCATGAAATTTTAGAGAATGTCACTTACTATACTTCCATTCTCATTCCACATACCGGAACGATTCATATTCCTAATAAAATAGTGTCAAACAATCTGTAAAGAGCTTCAAAATTTAAAGTGCACGGTCACGATGTACATTAGGAACCAAACAGGTCCTAATGATTCCATAAATTTGAGAACCAGACTGGACTGTTGGCACCGACGAGAACTGAACCGAACCGAATTGGGTTCATGATTCCCCCACAACAGAGCTAATCAATTAAGTGAAATACTAAAATGACCCAAATCTAATATAACCAGTCCATTAATACAATAAAAAAGCTATGAGAACAGAATCAAGTCAGTTATCCAAAAGTTAACAATTAGTACCTGATAACCCAGAAACTAAAAAGCCGTAATCAATAAAAATTAAAATTAATAGTTAAAAAGCCTAATTCATGAGGAATTATTCTATCTTTCAGCAATTCCAACTATAGACTCCTTCCAATTCTATTGATTACTTCATTTGGGATGTGGTTTGGTTTTTGCTTTTGACTAGTTTAGCCTGAGACTAAAGAGGAAAAAATAAAATGCCTATGAATTGGAGGTGATGTTTTATCGTAGACTAAAAAGTCTATTTTAATTTTTTATAGCTAAAATAGCCAAAAATAAACACTAAAAAAATAAAAAGCCTGACATGCAAACGAAAGGTTTTCTGCAATACATAAAAAATATATAGGGAGAGAGAAAATAATGGGTATGTAATCAATAGAATTGTAAGGATATGAGACGGACCTGTGATAATTTCTCTTAATTTAGACTTTCAAAGGGGACAAGCACAGTTAAAGAGATTAACAAACAAACAATTAAACAAAAAAATAAATAAAAACCCTAAATCAAAGGGAAAAAATTAAAGAAATAAGACAAATTACTCACCAATAGGAGTTATCAGACCAGCTAGACGTGCGATTGCGAAGGAAAGACGAAAGAGAGGGGAAAAAGAAAGGAGTGGGAGAATGGCTAGCCGCTAGGGTTTAATATGTTTTAAAAAAACCAGTTAGATTGGCTTCGAACCGGTTTATTTTTTTAAAACCATACTGGTCCTGTTTGGTGTAACTGTTAAAACAAATTATGGCCTTGTTTGGTAGAACTTATTACTAGCTTATTTCAAATTTAACTTAATTTAAGCTATTTGGATGTATTTGATTCAGTTTAACAATACAGCTTATAACTTTTTGTAAGTCAAAAATCAACTTATTCTTTGAGTGGGGGAAGAGAAGCTTAATCTATAAGTCAAAAATCAGCTTATGTTCACAGGTATAAGTTATAAGCTGTTAGGCTATAAGTTATAATCACTTTCCCACAGTTCTACCACACAGGGCCTATAGATTATAGTTTAACAGATTATAGATTATGACTTTAATCAGAAGCTGTTAATCTGTTTGGTATAACTGTTAAATTATAGATTTAAGTTGCTGAGGAGTGTTTGTTAAATAAGCTGTGAAGTAACTTTTTCAATTAACTTTTATTTTTTATTATTCACTATTTGTCTACATTTCTCATAAAAAATAATAATAATATTTTATAGTCCATTTGGGTCTTTTTTTTTAAATAAAAAATAAAAAATAAAAAAATTTAAGAGTATAACCGTGAATTAACATGTCCATAGCAGAAGTTGATAATCAGAAGCAAGGGGTGAGCAGCTTCTCAGAATTAGTTTTTTTGACTTAAAATAAATTGTTAAAATTAGAAGCTGTTTGAAATAAGTTTAACTAAACAGTCCAAAATAACTTTTAAAAGTCAAAAGCCATAAGTTGGCTCAAAAAAATCCCACCAAACACCTCCACTATCCCCTTGTTTGAGAAGGTTACTATTTGTTTTTTTTTTAGTTATTTTAATCTGATAAAAAAACTAATATTTAAAATGGTAGTTAATTTTTTTTTATACTAAATTTGATAATTGTAAGAAAAAAAAAATAATTATAAGTTATATATAATATTTTAACTTTTACTTTATCTTTATAGACCACTTTAGTTTTCTTTTTTTTTTAAAAAAAAAAAAAAATCCAAACTAAACTAAGAAAATAACTTGCCAAACACAGCTTTTGCCAAACTAGGACCGAACCCGTTTGTACATAACCAGATTAAACAGGATAAGATTGTTTGAGAAGTGTTAAATAAATATATTTTTTATTTTTTATGAAAAAAATGTATAAGAAAATAAAGAGATAATATAACCTTAAAAAATATAAGAAATATGCTATTATAGTAGTTGCCAAGTGACCTCTATATGATTGTGGTATTTATGGTGATTTTTTTTTTTTTTGGAACTATTTATGGTGATGTTTGCTGGAAAAATTATATGTAGGTGGGAGAAGGGGGAAAAAATTACAACTGTATGAGGGGCAAGTGTATCTATGGTGAGGTGCAAATGAAATGCTGTAGAGGTGCAAGTGCCACTTGCACCCCTCTTTGTATTGGTAATTTCTTTTTATTTTCCCACCCTTGGTTTGGGAAGCCAAAGGTTAGGCTTTTTTGGCTAAAATATCCACAAAAAACTAAATAGGCTTTTTAGCCACAAAAAATAAAACATTACATTCAACCCATAATCATTACATTCTTTCTCTTACAAAAAATCAAAAAAACCAGAAGTCATTTCTAAACGAGATTTTTTAGCCCAAGGCTAAAATAACTAAAAAAACTAAAAAGTCAATCCACTTTCCAAACGAATCCTAAAGGTTTGTTTAGCAAATTACGTCAAATTTGATTAATAATGCGATAATATTACGTTAAAAACAAATAAAATAAATTAGGCTAATTAGTCATGGATTGTCACATCATTTGGGACAAAAACTCTTATGTACGTTAAGTTATTTGTTGGTCTCAAAGTACCGTCATGAAACGTTTTAAGTGTGTTTTGATTGTTGGAAAAGATAAGATTTACAATTTTGTGTTATGTAATTAAGGAATATGAGAATAAATAAAAATTTATAATTGGTCAAAGACATGGTCACGTGGTGTCTCTAAACCAACCAATCATTTTTTCTTACATAATGGATTGAGAGAAAAAATTTCTTTTTATTTTTATTTGTTTTATTTTACTTTTCTATATCATAAAGAACCCAAAATTGAAAATTTTAAAAAGTTCAAAATTGCATCGTTCAAGCTACAACAAACATTCTATTTTCTTAGATTTTGGTATTGTAAAAAGCAATTAGTTGTTTTACTTGCATAGATATGAATCATAGAATCAAATACAAAATTTTCACATAAGTGAGAGCTGCATAAAGATACGACTCACTTTATGTGAGAGGATTGTATTTAATTTTGTAATATATTTATGTGTTTTTAATTTTTTTAAAAGAAATATGCACTCAAATAAGATGCCAAAATTGAACCAAACTTTCATTAGATTGCACATGAAAGGGAAGAGCTTGAGAAATTCAATTTCCACACACTTATTTATCTTTTTGTATATATTTAATGACAATTTTATTTTAATGACAATTTTATCTTGAAACAAAATTACTGTAATGGACATCAAACCACACCCTTAATATTGAATCAACGTTTTCTCTATACACATCATTTAAAAATAAAAAAATCTTTGCACATTTTTCGAGTAAAAAAAAATTAAACCCTAATTCCTCTATTGTTTTTCACTTGTTCTATTGTCTACTATTTGCTACACACTCTATAGTCCTCTATTGTTTGCAAAGCAATGCTCACTAGGTTTATTCTCCATTGCATATATCGTTTTGTTTTTAGAATCTATCATAATTCTTGATTTATGTGATGAAAAAGTTGCAAATCAATGGAAGTTCAAATTCAAATAAGAATATGCTTGGTTGCAACAAAAGCAGTGAAGTTGAGTTTTTTTGTGCATTTTTTATTTATTTATTTTTTTGCAATTTTAATTCGGCAAACCAGTGCCGAAACATGTTACGTTTTTCAGATATCAACTGCCGAAATTATTAATTATATTCGAAAGTCAAGTTCTGAATTCAGATATAAACCAAATTTAGAACTCAACGTTCGAATTTAAGAATTTATTTTGGAAATTAAGTTTCGAATTTACATGTTTTAGAAGTTCAAAATCAAATAAAACTTTTTCATTCAAATAACCAATACCAAATGAACAAAATTGAATTTCTTCCAAGAAAAAATGAGGGTTGATGGAAAATAAGAAATAAATGGAGTTGTAGGTCTTTAATTGATAAGGATCCTCTGTCTCCAAATAACTCTGTCCCCTTGTCCTAATTCACTCATTGCCATTGGATCATATGAGAATCCCAAGATGTGAAAATCTCAAGACATATCTAATGGTTGTGAGTGAATTAACAAAATGGGAGGGAGATGCTCACCTTCAACAATGCAACGAGTCTTTAATGGAGTCACCGTGGATCTTCTTCAATAGAGTTTGATGTCGCTATGTCTTCAAAGTAGGTGGAATAAAAAATGGGTCTATACCATTGATTCTCTGTGTAACGAATGGTTTAGGTGGTGTATGTACAAGAATGTTAGTGTTGGAAATTTTTTTAAGTGAATGGAATTAGAGTCCATTTGAATGAAATGATGCAATCTTTCATGGTGCCTATTCGTATGAAAGGGTGTGAACCGAATAGATATGACTATTCTAAAGATCACAAGTACTTCTATAAGTACCATCCCATCCCATCCCATGGCATTATTGCATAACTTAAGGTTTGTTTTAGGATTCATAGATTATGTCTAGTTGAGTATATAATAGAGAGTGCATGACACAAATTAGTTCGCGGTACACACAAAAAATTGTGCAATTTCTGTATGGGGTGATCTTGTATCCTAGAGGCAGGACGTCCATTAATCGCAAGTACCAGAGGCAAGGGCAAAATTCTATCTTAAAGACACAATATTCAAACATTGGCCTCGGTCACAATCTATACTAAGTTTATAGAATTTCTGTGACGAATTTCTTGTATTTTATTTTATTATTTATTTACATTAAATTGTTTTCTGAAAATATTTTCCTATAATTTTTAAGACAGAATTTACTATCTATAGTGATACAGATTAATTCTTTTCAGTTAAATTAATTTTTTTGCAAATTTGCTTTCATGCAAAGTTTTTTTCCTGCTTTCGGTAGAACTCTAGTATTGCGACTGCATCTTTTCCCTGGTAATAGAATCGATAAATTTTGTTAATTTTTTATCTGAAATTGTGTTTAAGTTGAATTCTATTGCATATTTATCTTTTCCAATATACTAATGTATTGTTCTAGATAACAGTTCTATAATAGATTTGTTGTCAGACAAATTTTAGTTTCTATTGTGATTATACAATTCATTTTAAATCTGTTTTAGACAAAATTCATTTCTATTTCTGTGACACAATGTTGTTGCACTGTTTGGTTTTAGATTTCTTTATTTTGCTCATAAACAAAATACCAGAACAGGTTCAGAGTTTTTACACACAGAATTGGGATATATTTTTCACCATTTGTCAGTTTAATGTTTAGTTAGATTTGGATGTATTTCGATATTTGATTCTGTGTGTACCGTTTAAAGTCAGAAGTGGAAGATATCTTTTGATATATCGTAAGTAATAGTCAAATTCTATTGAAATTCAAGTCTTGCCTGTTAATTCTGTTTCTCCATATATAAATTGTTGCATCTTTTGTATATTTAAATACAATAGATAGATTGCTTCATTGGATATGAGTTTGTTAATTAATTTTTTATTGGAATAGACTTTTTTTTTTTTTTATCGGAAGAAATATTTCATTCAAGAAGCCAAACCGCATTTACATGAGTCCATCCAACCCAAAACTTACACCAAACAAAGTGAAAATAAAGGGAGAAGCACATAGGAAGAAAAAACTATGACAATATTCGAACTCACATTACGTGTCTGTGCTCATACTGCAAAGCAGAACCGATCATAAAAGTTCGACAATAGAACATGTTCAAGATATATCATAGATCCCAATCACAGAGAGGGTAAGTTGAAACAAATCT